GACAAACATTTGTGATTAATGCAGCCGATTACTCAGTTGGTCACAGTTTTAAGTAGCTATTAGCTCTACTCATAGTCATTTGGCTAGAGAAGTAGATTATTATTCGTGCTTTTTTTTTTTTATTGTGAGTACATTTTACGCTTCATCTTATACTTTTATCCTAAATATTTTTGAAAGTGAGTGTGTTTTATGTTTCATTTCACTCATCTTATGATAGCCAATTTGATTTATTCATTTAAGCACACAATTCTAGACAGATTGTAGAAGAGTTCTTTTTGGGTATTGATTAGTGTCGAATCCACCAAAAATAACTTTATAATCAACCAATAAAATAATATTGTAGTAGTGATAAGAAAGGTCGAATCCATAGGGAATTGAAAACTAATTTACTTCATTGACCAATGAAAAAAAAGTGAACTATGGGGGATTTTATAGAATTTAATACACAAAACGTAAAATAAACAATGAGCAGAATAATATTAGATAAACTCTTTACTGCAAATAGGCTAAAGCAATTATAAAAATAATTTCTAGTTAACAAAATAACTAGTTCCAGTAACGTAGTTGATCATAGATGCAAAGATTCGTTTTATCCAAAATATGACAAATCAATTATAATTGTCAGAAACATTCCGACAACTAATTATTCTTTATTCTTCAACAAAACAAAAAATATTTGTTAGTTGATTCTTTACTGCCAAGCAATCTTGGAAACATCCACCTGATTTAACTTGTCAACGGTCTTGAAAGTTAGAAGGATCTAATTCAAGTTGCCGGGTTCATCCATGTGAATTGATCAAATAGATTATTTACCTCCTCAGTGTAGTACTGATCGCTACTTGATGCGAAAACTGCTTAAACAATAGGTTGGCTAGCTATTTGCGATTTTTATTCACAGATGACGGGTTCTATTCAAACGGATGGTAAATCTTATGAGTGTTTTGGTATGCATATTTTTATTCCTACTCGATCTAAAATTGGTGAATCATGGCATCATAGAATGTCGTATACTTGATGTCTACTGATAGCGCATTCTGCATCTATGTAATAATGATATCGTTACATCGCATATAATATTTTATAAATAAATCACCCGGATCTGCTAATTTTTCAAATTTCCATAAATAAACTGTAGTTTATTTTTTATTCGTTATGCATGTTTCATCAATATCATTCAGATTCGGTAGTTGTTTGCATCTAATAACTAAGACACAAGTAATGCACTAGAGCTCTCGTTGCTCTTAAGAAGTCAAATCCAATTAAACAAGTAGGATCTCATCTCCTCCTATAAGACAAAATCACGTCAAACAACCAGCTCAGTTTTATATTTGATTTGAACCTTGTTCTCAATCTTTACTTGATATCATGTAAGATTTCCCAATAAAAACTGGTAAAGAAAATGAAATATTAAAAAATCTAGAAGAGAAAATCGAAGAACTAAGAAAGAGAAAACATAAGAGAGGTGGCAAGCTTGGAAAACCTCAACAAGCTTGTATTTTACTATTGGTTTCTCAATGCTTCTTATGACATAAAAGAATCCTTACGATAAAAAAAAAAAAAAGGCATACACGCTCCTCAATTGAACAACTACTTTTTTCTTTTAACTCTAATATACACACACACACACAAACTTATGCATACGCAATAGACCTAAACTCTCCTTCAAGACAACATTACACATTTAACCTGCGGGTGCAAGTAAGTGATATTTTAACAATAATGGCATAAATTTTGAACAATTTCATTAAGAATCTCAAGAAATTAAAACGTCCCAATTTTTTTTTCTTTCAAATTTATCCCCATATATATATATATATTATGTATGAAAAAACTATATTTCAGTGCCCTAATGAATAGGTTCAAAAAAAAAAAAAGAAAACATTTTATATTTTACTAAGTACTACTTGAAAACCTTAATAAATTACGTCAAATTTAATTAATATAAATATTAAAATATCAGTTGTATGGTTTTATTATTATTATTATTATTACCTTGGTATGTCCAAAAGCATTGGGCTTTGCTTTTCTGCCGAACCCAACTATACATATAGTGTATATCTGTATTAGTCCTTTCATTATTTTAGGGATGTGGTGCCCAACCCATTTGACATATCCTATTTAATTTAATTTTAATTTTTTCTGAAATTTAAACCATCTTATTTTTAAAGAAAAAATTATTTTGTTGAAGTTAAATTTGTAAATAAATTATGTCAAAGTAATTAATCTATTTCACGTATGTTCTTAAAGATTAAATTGTTACCAAAAGAAAGGAAATTTTATAAACTAATTTACGGCAGTGAAATTGATTAGCTGTAAATCGATATTGACATGACTGTTAATTTTCTATTATTAATTCTCATTTACGTTTTATGTGACATTCATTGGCAAGTGAAATTCTTTTAATTACACAAATATTTGATTACGAAAAGTTTTGTGGTTGAAAAAGGAAGAAGCAAATTGGAATTAGATTAATCTGCAAATTAATTTAAGTTGACGTCACGTGCATTTGAAGAGATGGTTGATTGGGGGCTCAAGAATCGAAAAGAATAGGAAAGAGGAGGTTTTATTAATGAGAGAATGGAAAGTATCAGAAGACAGAGAGGGAGCCAAGAATCCAGCATTTATTATGTTTATAGCATCTTCAGACATTCTTTAATATCACAAACCCTATTTTCCTATTCCACTCCCTCCCCCCATTGATTACCACTGTACATGACACAACAGATGATCACAGTCTCCTGCACAACAAACAAGCTTAATTACGAGAAGAAGAAGAAGAAGACGACCTATATATATATATATATGCGTGTATATATATCCCTCTCATTGATGAAATGTAGCTTTCAGACCCAGACAGAAAGCAGTACTGAAATCTGATTTTAAATCCACAGTGCCCCCACACAGAAGCAAAATTTAATTAAAAGCTTCACATTCTCTCTTTCTTGTAAAACTACAACCAGTTAAAATTCCACTAATTTCTAGCTCATTCCTTCTGTGTCTTTTCTATTCTCAACCCCACCATTTACCCAATACCCCTTTGTCTGCAGAATTGACCCATCACTGGTCCTAGAATTAAATCCATCTCTATCTTAACTCTTAATTAATTAATTTGATCTTTAATTTAATCTATTCAAAAAAATATAAACATTTAAAAGAGCTTTTCGGCAAGAATTTAATTACCTCACTCACTCCACCAGTTTGTATAATTTTTCTTTATAATTAATGCCTTTATAAGACTAGGATTTAAGACTAATTATAAGAGTGTGAGTGTGAGTGTGAGTGTGTCTGTGTGTATGTATGTAGGTAGCCCCACATGGCTTGGTCCATGCATGCACCAAAAAAAATCCAAATTATTATGTAATCATAGCTAGAGATTATGCTGATTTGGATTAAATCAACTTTAAAACATTACTGGGTTCTTCTTCAACTATCACTTGCAGGAACTATACGTACATGTAAGACAAAACCATAAAAACATATATGTATAGATCGCGAAAGAATGTTCGTGCACGATGTATATAAATTTAATTATGATTTAATCTAAATCCACTAAGTAAATAATAAACTTTGAAAAAACAACATTGGAAGGACATGATCTTGACATATATTTGATTGTTTGGTTGGTGGGGAGAATTGGTTTTGACCTCCTTTTTCATGCATTTTGAATTAAGATGGCGAACATAAACAGATGCACCTGACACATAAAGACATATATATATATATATATACATATAGCCACTTTCATCTTTATTTTTCTAAAAAATAAAAATAATAATATAGATAGAAAAATTAATTAAAAAATTTAGAGTGTTTGTCGGTAGGCACATTAGAAAAGTGAATATTCTGTGTTATGAGTAGATAGCGTAATATTTCCTTAATCATTTTATTCTCCAGATGCAATGATCTTATTATAAGGTTGACTGGATTTGCTGGTCTTACCAACACACTCGCCCATCACATGTCATACTCATCATGTTCCTTCCATAATGTACATATATATATATATATATATATATATTATATACAGAACCGTCAATTTTCTTTTTCTTTTTTTTTTTTTTTAAATTTATCTCGGATTTAGATATTATTTAAACCAACTTACATGCATCTTAATTTATTTATCTTTAATTTACTTTATTAAAAAAAACAAACAAACTCTGTCAATGTTAAGACAAAAGCATTCACAAGAATTAGGATATATCGGTCCAATATTTCAAGCTTATGTCATTGTTAAACATAACTAACTCCGTGATCATATGTTGTTTATTGTTCAGTACGTCTCATTTGGAAATATATATATCTATTTAATCAAAGAATATTACAGAGGGGACCATGATTAAGTTCTCGTAGAATTTTAATTAATTATTCTGGACAAAATTAGATTATGATTTAATTAAACAGCTCGTTTGTCCAAAATCTAAAGTTTATTGTTGCTTTCAAATCGAAAGTGAGAATGATATGCGACTCCCATGTTTTTCAAAGTTTCAGCTTCAAAAAGTCTAAACCCTTCAAAAGGTTAAATGGAAAAATCCAAACCACTTTTTTCCTTTTGTCTTTCTCTATACAGATTTGAAAATTAACCAAAGACATTTTTACATCTCCCAAATCACCTTTTTCTCTCCTCTTCTTTCATCTCGTCTTGATATTTTCAAACACAGTGCACTGCTGTAGCACATCATATGTATACATACATACATACATACATACATACATATATATATATGTATGTGTGACTACACATGAATGGTAAAAAGAACGAAGATAAGAACAAACAAGAAATCTCCACCCTCAGTTCACGTTCACATAACACCAACACTAATATTGAAAACCGACAAATTTCTTTTTTTAAAGAGAAAAAAAAAAAAAAAAAAAAAAAAAAAGCAGAGAGCGTATTGGTCAACGATTAATTATAATTAATCAACATGTTGTTAAATTAATTATTAAACTAAACCGATCAGTAATTCACATGTAAACGAAAAGGATGGTTCATTAACTAAAAGTTAATTAATCACGCGTTAGATTAATCAGTGCTGAATCTACCCCTAAAACTAATTATCTTAAAACACAATTTACTAAACAAGTGATATATGAAAAAATTAAACAAAGCATGTTTAATTCATTCATATTCTTCTTCCTGATGAAGATCATGACCAATCAGAGAACAAAGCTTCATAAATCTCCATGAACACATGGACGATTATCCTGTGATGGTGATGCGAGTTCAGGGACAGAAAACACTGCAACAGATGTTCAAGCTCCTTTACCCCAAATATCTTCTTCTCCACAATCATCTCCACCATCGACGACCTGAAATCATTGTACGGATCGCTAGATCTCTTCACCACCGCAAAACTGTCTTTCACCTTCCCACCTTCTATCAACGGCAACACACCCATTTCTTTGTTGCTCTTGCTCCCGGAGCCGGGGCCCGTCGCTCTTCTTCTACGGCTATTTTTCCAGCGATGGAGCCGCCGTCGACGTGACCCAGAAGAGTCTGAGGAGAGACTCTTGGAAGAGAAGAGCGTGTCTGTCTCGTCTTCCTCGCTGCTAATAGACCACCACCCACCACCATTGTTAGAATTGTTATTGCTCTCGAGAGATGAAAAAGTGAACAAAGTGCACCTCTCTGGCCTGTTCTTGATCTTCTTAACTCTCTTTTTGTTAATATTCCTGCCTGAATGATTACGCTTTTCATCGTAGAATCCGAAGTTATTGTCTTTACTTTGGTAGTAAGGATTATACGGCGTTATGGGGGAGGCAGGTGGACACATGCGACCACGTATGTCGGCGGAGACGAAGAAAGGAGAGCGCTTCTCCGATATCTTTCGTCGGGGGAGGGAGTATCGGGTTGGTGGCATGATGATACAATCATGGTCAACGGGTGGCTCTGTTTGGGGACATCTGGGTCTGCACATGGAGGGGAAAGGTCGAGGCTTTGGTGAGGAGTAGGGTAGTTCCGTATCGGCCATGGCGTAGTTTTGGCTTTGAGGGACGAAGACTGGTTTCTGGATAATGTCTGATAAGTTTCGTGAGCGGCATGAGCCGAAAGACGAGCGAAACATGCGAGAGATTCGTAGCTTAAGTCGGTTTTCCATTGTAGAAGATGAGAGAGAGGATATATTTTTGTGAAGCCATGGAGAGGAATAAGCAGGTATATAAATAACACGAGGACCAAAGAAACAAACAGACCAGGTGTGAATTTTAAATTTAACAAATTGTATTTCAAATTTCGGTCATATATATTATAATAAATTTTAAGCTAATATTTCTGCCTTATATTTTACTCAAAAAAAAAATATTTATATATATAAGCAGTTTCATAGAAAATAATCTCGGTGGAAGTCTTTGAAATATAAATAATAAATATGGTTGGTTTTTGTTTTTGTTTTTTCCACCGTTTTTCGTCGTCTTGTTTGTGGTATTTGAGAAAATTTTGTTGTAAATAGATAATAATTAAAAGACTCAAAAATCACTCGCGGCAATTAATGCATGTCGCCGAACATTAATAAATTATTAATTAACAATGATGTAATGATACACACCTCTCCTCCTCCATTTTTAAAATCAATTTTTAATTTCTTACTAATCCCACTAATTACTCATGTATTATGTATATAATCACATTAATAATTCTGCCCGTATTATCTTTTTTTAAAAAAACCTTTTTCGTGTAAATAAATTAGAAAATATGTTACTGCTAACTTGGAAAAGATAAATAATTTTAAATAAAATAAGAAGTATACTTTTTATTATTAATCTTGTAATTAGTAAAATTTAATCAAGTAGGCACAAAATAGTTTCCAAATAAAAAAGGTATGACATGATTTGAAAAAAAAAAAAAAAATACTTTGCATGTAAAATAGAACAATACAAATAAAAGTAGGTAAATTGAGAATTGTGATACGTACAAGGTAAATGCCAACCAGCTATACAATGGACTGGGGCATGTATATATCTTTATATTATTTTGTCAAGAGGGGTGTGTGTGTATATATATAATTATATTTTTGAATAATTGAAAATTTTGTTTTATAATTTAATTCTTTATTAAGAATTTAAAAGTATAATACGTCAATCAATTTATGTTCGCTACACAATATAGTTTATTAAGGTTGGTATTTGAAATTCAAACCGTTGAGGATTTGAGTAGTGGCATAGAAATATTTAAATAGAGATGCTATATGTATATATTAAATAGCAACATGTAGTAATGAATATAACTAGCACAAGGGGTAGCAATTCAAACACATACATAAATGTAATTTAAGCTCTAACCTTTAATAGGAAACCTACTATTTCCCTCGCTTTTGCCTCCACCTACCATCCTTATAAAATATATATGTACCCATTGTAATTATATATATATATATATTTCATATAAAATATACGTGTTTTTTTTATCTAAATAATTTGATATTTATACATCTTTTTTTATAAAAAAAAAAAAAGCCTAGGTTTGTACAACTCAAGATTCAAATTTATATTTTCGGCAAAAGAGTTTGAAATAATAAATATTTAGTTAATAGATAGTCAGATAAAATAATTTTAAAACTTAATTATATAAATACATGGTATTTTTGTAAGTATCTATTATTAATTAAATTTAAAAGCACGATATATTTTGAAATTTAGAAAATAAAAAACAAAATTAATTGAAGACGGATGACTTCATTAACTTCTCTGATTTTTTATTAATTTAAATTAAAAGTTTGACGGAGTGGGTGGAGAAGATAACGACTTTGGAGTCATTTATTGGCATGAGCTTTCCTTTAGTGGCCACCGTACGTAACCTACACAGGAATATGCTTGAAAAAGACGCACATAATTATATATAACTACCTACCTACAAACTAATATTGAGAACGTATATATATAATATACACACACATATATACGTATGTAAATATATAGGGTATGCAGAGTCCTGCATTTTTTTTGGGCAGATCCCATATGCATGATACCTAACTACTCACTGCCCACAACTCCAATCATCATTAATTGTGTACATACAAAATTTAAAAGTTACTTAGATCTTTTTACGATCCATGTCTATGACCGAATCCCTACAAGCCGTATAACTATATGTATCTACGCACATAGACATACATACATGCATGTGTTGTATGTATATATGTGGTTGTCTTCCCAAAAAGAATTGGTGTGGTGGCACTTCTCTGTCATCCTTAACTTTTATGACGTACTCCAAAAGATCCTTTCTTTATATATTTATATATATATATATATATATATATTTGGTTAAGAAGTATTATATTGAAAAATTTGTAGAGATGGATTTTGGAAAAAGAGATTTTGAGAGCAGATGACAAAGGCAATATTGTCACCTTTTTCACGTTTGGTAGCAGCCAAAACGTATTGTGAAGATACTTCTAAATCAATACAGCTTAGTTAATTAATTATAATTATTAATTTGTCACTACATTCCTGTCTCTCCTAGTACACTGGTGTGCATATATATATATATATATACATGCAAAAGTCTATTTGGGTTCCCCATAAACGAGGAGCTTCTCGATTCAAAATCAATAATAATACAGTTTTTGCATAATTGTATATATTCGATTTATCAATTTTAAAGTTAATTTCGATTTTTCATCTTGATCAAATATATATTTTCTAATAATATCTTATTTATTATAATAAGTTGGTTAAAACTTTAATATATAATTTACACGTTAATTAATAAATAATTGTTAGATTATATATAAATATTTAATTGTAATTTCGGTTTGATTTAGAAATTATTTTTAATAAAATTTAAGCCTGTATACTTGTGCCCAATTGAATGTAATTTTAACATAATTTAAGGTGTGATTTATTCTCACCCTCACCTAATTTCCATTCTGTGAATACTGAGAAGTATCAAGAATGAGATTTAATAATCTTTAAGTACACCAAATTACATCATAATTATACATATTATGTTCGTCTTAATTCTAAAAATGAAAATAATAATAATAATATATATGGTTTCATTGAGATTTGTTCATTACTATAATTAAAATTATGCTTTAAAACTTTAAATAACGTTATTAAAACGTACATATACATATATATATATATATATATATAAATAGGAAGGTGAGAATCTGGGGTTAAAAGAAGGTTCCAAGAGCACAGAGACAGATGAAAGAAAAATACCCCACCAAGAGGTAAGAGACAGTTTTATTGGTGAGTGGATTCAGCTTTTCAAGTCCACTCTCCTCATCATCATTTCCCAAAATTTTATTATTATTAAACTTCATAATTAATTATACTTGGGCTTTTTTTCTTCATTCAAACTAATTAACACGTGTTAAGTTAATATCCCCTTAATTATTTTTTAATAATTACACTAATAAACAGATACTAATTACAACCAATTTGAAATTAATGACGTATATATTGATGTAACTAGTAGGACGGAAAGGAAACAAGTTAAAGTTAAGAAGCTATATGTGGTGTTGGACCCTACAAGAAATGATGGGATGTGTTTGGGTTGCATGGAAATTGGAAATTTCAAAATTAGGACACTGGTATGGATTTTGGCTTCAAAATGCAACAGTCTGATCACTGATCATCATCATCATCATCATCATAGATATATAGTACATCACTGTATACATGTATGAACAGATATAATTATGTCCATTACATGATTGAGGTAATGCACAGACATAGGCTTTGATAAAAGTAGGCAGCAAAGGTATAATACCAAATCGAGTAGGTGAACATGCAGTACTTGCCGTCTCCTCCATACATATATATATATATATAAATGATATAAGAGAACGTTTTGGCTTTTGATGTGCAGGAACCCGTGAACAACAACATTTCCCTTGTACTTGTTCTCCTCTCTCTCTCTCTCTCTCTCTCTCTCTCTATATATATATATATATATACATACATACATATATTTGATCAAATAATAACAACTAGTAAAAATAAATGTGATAATTTAAAAATTAACCTAATTACGGATATAAATTAATATTTTAAACATATTTAATGTAATCAACCATAAAAATGAAAGGAATAATGTACGCACTACCCATACCGCACACCTAATTTAATCCCTTATAGCAACGTCATCCTCATTTCTTAACCTACTTCCCCCTAACAGAATTACAAAAGTTATCTTCTTCATTATTCATTAATTATCGCCAATCAACCTTAATTTACTCCTTATCCTCAAACAGAGCCCCTATCTCCTCTAATGTCTTCCCTTTCGTCTCCGGCATAAACCTGTTGAAAAACAATGTCCCCACGAACATGATTCCCGCCAGAACTCCAAACATTCCGGCAAAAGTAATCTTGGCCGATATGGTCAAGAACGTCATGGACACCACCCCGCTCACCAGCCGATTCACCGATATTGCAAGGCCGGCACCTTGGGCCCGAAGCCTCATGGGGAAAATCTCACTTGAGTAAACCCACGTAATGGGCCCTAGCCCAATTGAAAAGAAGGATACAAAGGTGCATACAGAGACTATGGTCATGACCATAGCCCACATCGGCCTGTGTTCGGTATGGATAAATTTTGAGCCCACAGATAAGACCACAAGAGATAAGGTCATCCCGGCTGAGCCTAATAATAAAAGGGGCCGGCGGCCGAACCGGTCCAAATAAAGCGCAGAGAGCAAGACGAAGGCAGTCTTGGATAAACCCATTATCACGTTGATGCTCATCAACTTCGTCTTGTTGTGAATCCCAGCGGCCCTGAACACTTGAGGGCAGTAATATATAACAGCGTCGTTACCCGAAGCTTGCATGAAGAAATTGATTCCAATGGCCGCAACCAGCATTCGTCTAACAGGTCTAGTTGGACACCAAAGAAGCTCTTTCCACACTCCTTGGCCTTTCCAATTATCGCCCCTTGCAGCCGCTTCTTGCGCGGCAGCTTTTGTGATCTCGGTGAGTCGAAACTCCGCCTCCTCTTCGGAATCCGATACCCTGCGCAACACCTCCTTGGCCTCCGGCAATCTTTGCTTCATGACGAGCCAACGAGGCGATTCCGGCATCGCCATTACGCCGAACCCAATACCGATCGCTGGTGCGGCAGCCAGGCCCAGCATCACCCTCCAGTTGATGTGTGAGGGGAGAGGAGAAAAGGAGATGTTTGAAATGTAGCCAAGGAGAATGCCGAAGACGATGAAGACCTCAGGGAGTGAGGAGAGGAAGCCGCGTGTCATGGCGGGAGAGATCTCTGAGGTATAGACAGGGGAGATCATGAGAGCGTAACCGACGCCGATTCCGGCGACGACGCGGCCGGCCATGAGGAAGGCGAAGTTAGGTGCTAGACCCATGAGAAGGGCACCTATAAGGAACGTCGCCGCCGCCAGGACAATGGTATAACGCCGGCCTATGTAATCGGAGGTCTTGCCGGAAGCGAGCGATCCGAAAAGGGAACAGACATTCAAGGTACCCACCAGGATCTCCACTTGAACTGAGGAGAGATGTAAGGTTTCTGATATATAAAGCACCGCCCCACTCATCACTCCGATATCTGCAATTAAACCATTAAAGCCATCTGAATCAGAAAATTGAAGACGAAAAGGGAAAAATTAAGGTAGAATATTGGGGATTTGCTTACCGTAACCAAGGAGGACGGAGTTGGTGGAGGCGAGAATAGAGCAGAAGAGGGCATATCTGTTGAGATGACGTCGCGTAGGGGTAGATTGTTGGATTTCAGGTTCAACATTAAGGGTTTCCATTAGATCGTTGGCTCAGACACAAAACCCAACCAGGTTCTGTATTCACGTCGTGGTGGTGGGTGCACGTTGATGTAAAAAAACTGGGTGAGAGTGAGCGAGAGGATAAAATTATTAATATGACGAAGAAGGAAGAATAAAGAGTGAAAAAATAATTGGAAAAGGGGAAATTGGATGCGGTAATACACGAACTAGGCACTTTGGCAGCCTACGTACCGGGGAAGAACAACACGTTGTGTTTTGGATAGGAACCAACTTTGACGTCGGACTCTATTTATTATTTAATTTTTTAAAAAAAGAAGATTATTATATCTTAAGCAGAAGAAAATCCTGTTTTTTTTTTTTTCAAAAAAATAATAATAATAATAAAATTCAAGAGTTTAATTTTGTTAAGATGACTTAAAATTTTTAAATTAATAAATAGATTTAACTCAATTATTATCTCTACCCCACTAGGACACTACATTACCTAAAAAGCAATTTGGTACTTCCTCATAAAAGAAAATTATAATTTTTACATTTTACTAAAAATTGACTAATCATTATAACGTATTAAATCAATGCCTCGTTATATATTTTTAATTAATTCAATTATAATATACGGAAATTGTTATTTAACATATATATATATATGTACATTACTTTCCATTTTCTATTTAAAAAAGTAGTTTGTGAATCTCTGAGAATATATTTTTCAAAAAAGTGCTTGTGAAGTCACATCAGGAATGGTCTTGACAACATCCCGACTGTGCATAGCACTTGAGGAAATAAAAGAAACTCTAGTTGCCGTCGTTTTACGTACATGCTAATCTTTATCTTTTTTTTCTACTTTATAATATATGATTAAATTTGGAAAATGATAGGTTTTGAAAATCTTCACATTAATTTTTTTTATATAAAAAAAAACCATTTCTTTGTGAATTTTATTAAAATTATTATTAATTAATTAAAAAAGTTTTATGTCTTTTTCTTATCTTTTATTTGTTTCATAAAAGAGTATTCTCCTTTTTTTTTTTTTTTTCTTTTCGTAGGGGATGATAATCAAGCTTTGTCATTCTTTTCTTTGTATCATATTTACCTTTTTCTTTTTGCATATCAATCGGAAAATGAGCATTAAAAACCAGGAGACCCTAACAAAAAAATAAAGTTTAAAAGTGGCCAATTGGATATTCTTTTGCTGGCACATCAGCATTCAAATATATACCCTCTCCTTTCATTCACACACACACATATATATATATATATATATATATATATATATATGCATACCCTCTTTAAGAAAAGCCAAAAAAAAAAAAAAAAAGGTTCCAAAATTCAAGAAAAAGAAAGGCAATATACCACTTGATGCACCAACACCACACGGTTTTTGTTTTTTTAGAAATGTTTGCTGTGTTTGTTTCATGATAATGTGAAAAATATTTTATAATTTTTTAAACTATATCTGTTTTATTAGTAAAAAATTAAAAATTTCTTAATATTTATGATAATTATAAAAATAATGATTGACTTGTAAATTTTTAATTATTATATAAATATATTTCTATTGATAAATACATGTATTAACATATAAAATTAAAATAAAATTTTAAAAATATTTTCATTTATTAATATGAGTATGTATTCTTCCAATAAAATTTTTAAATATTTTACAACCTTTATTTTAAAATAACATAAATTAGAAAATTAGCCGTTTAGTATTATATTACAATTTGATTCTTCCGTTTTTTTGCTATAATTTTATCATTGATGCTTTTCATTTATTTTAAATGTATATTTTCTTTTTATTTTTTAACAAAAAATTTATAAATAGATAAATTCTTTTTGAATGTTAAAAAATAGTTCAAAATAATAATGTAAAAGCCCAAATCTTAAGGAAACGAAAATATCCAATTATATCGACTATAAACGAAAGTAATTTAAAATTTATAATTTATATTCCTTACACAGTAAATCATGATACTTGATAGGATTATGGAAATGTCTATTTATATAAATAATTAAAATAAAACGAAATAAAAATCTTATAGGCTTAACCTTCGCTGGGCAACTCTGATGGGGTTTGGAAGATAACTTTTATTTACAACCCTTTTACTGTTCAGGATCTGAATCTTCGTCTTCCTGATTTTAAATGGTTAAATAAGAGAAATAAGGTACACTAACCCAGTAAAAATATCACATTTAACACTGATATGGAAAATTAAATGTTGGTAAAAAATTGCCAAACGACCAATGGAGCCTTTATTTCTTTTTCGATAAATTTATTTGACTTAAAAAGTATTATTTCATACTTATCCATATGAGTTTTCAAACTCGACCTGTGAAAACAATAACCCAAATAATATTTTGATTGCATATTCAAATGAGCAATAACAATAAACTTACTTTCTTACCTACTTACTAATACCTCTGTGTGTCTATAGAAATTCTCTAACGACTCCAAAAATCCAAAAAAATATATATAATAATTTAAGTGTGGAAGCGAAATAAAAGGTTAAGGTTTACATCCCTTACATAATAACTTAAAAGTACTAAACAAATATCACGGAATAAATTCTCTGAAAAAAATACGAGAAATGAGAAAAGTAAAGAAAAATATAAAGTATCTAGCATCTACTTGCAATCTTCTTGCGGATCGGGATCGGAAACTAGGTTCTCTTGATCTGAAATGGTTAAATAAGGGATGAGCTACACTATCCCAGTAAGGACATCACAGTATATCACCGGCACAGAAGTAAAGGTTGGTAGAAAACTAAAAACAACCAATGGAGCACTAAATTTAAAAAATTACATTTATAAAAAATAAAACTATTTACTGTTCACTTACTATTGTGAAATTTATGAAAATAACCTATAAAGACAATAACATTATACAGATCATAACTTCATACACAATCAGTAATATAGAACATATCATAAATTTATATTCATTAACAATAACTAAATCATAACCGTTTTTCGTTTCTCCAGCCCACTAGTATCTATGGGGATTCATAGGGGTGTCCCCATTACACATGAATCCTTTCCCTTAACAATCTTAATTACAGAGCCGTCCTCATACCCCGTCCGGTATGAGCACTAAGACATTAAATCTCAATACTCCGTCCGGTATGAGGGTGAAGCGGGCCATCCTCATACCCCGTCCGGTATGAGACAACGTTTACGGTAAGGTTCCCTATGAACCCAGTCTGTCCACCATCTCCCAAGATATCTAGTGAGGCTATCGTTTTATCTGTTTATTTGATCACACCCCTTTCCTGTTTTTTCTTAGTCTCCGTTACCAAATCAAACATAATCACATAAAAAAAAAAACATGCATAAGGTAATGCAATTATGTTGTAAATCTCAAAATTAAACAATGGTCAAGTAAGACAATAATACATGCATTTAAACCTTAAAAAAGATAACTCAGATACCATCATACTTTTAGACTGTAAAATAAATCAACAGAGAACAATATCCGGTTCGGGCTCCATTAGCAATCCGTAATTAATTATGCACATCTATTTAATTTGTACAAAATATCGTATTATTATTTATTCAAACTTCAATTCCATGATAGAAAATAAGGTGAGGGGTCCTTACCTAATTTGACGCTGAAAAGCTAAATGGTTTACTGCGCCTATGGGCAGTTCCTGGGTTCTTTAAATTTTTTTTCAGAAACTAAAACACGCTTATGGTACCTACAAATGTCCCAAATAACCCAAACATAAGTCCCAAGGCCTACTCAGCCAATTTCAAAAATTCGGCACGGTGGCTTCGCCGTGCTCCGGAGACGGTGCCGCCACTTACGGCGGCAATCCACCTTGAGTTGGCTGTTTTCGACCGAATTCAGTCAAATTTGCATTAGTTCCTGTGAAAAAATACATTTAGGACCCTCGGTTGGCTGAAAAAATGTAGAAAATTGAAACTCACCAGCGGCGGGGCACTCCGGTGCGGCAGCTCCTCTGGCTCACCTTGCGGTTGGGCGTTTTGCTCCAGTCAACATGTAGAGAAGGAAACGATGATCACAACGGTAAAAAAATCACATCAAACGGGAATCGGGAAGGGCTTCATTGGAGGCATTTTCTAAAATATTTCGTGGCAATGCTACCGGGCTTTGCCAGTATTTTTCAGCCAATCAGCTAGTTTTTTTGCTCCGATTTGATCATGGATGTGTTTAAAATTAAATTCTGAGCAAAGGTTGAGATTTTTACCTCGTTTGGCTGTTACTCCAGTGCGGCGGCGAGTGGCGACAGTCGGCTCTTTGGTGATTGGGCTGTCTTCTTCGGCGAGGGGTTCTAGCGGCTAGGGTTAGGTTTTGGGTGCGGATGAGGTTATTTATACCCATCCGCTTTTAATATGGATTGTCCATCGCTTTTGATCTGGACCGTCCGATCGCGATTAAATAGGGAGTAAATTTGGGCTGTTCATCGTGATTCAATCTGGGTCGTTGGTGCGCACTTCCAATTTGGGTCGTCCATGCGCGTGGGAACGGACCTTAGCCGTTCAATTGCGCGCACGTGAATCGCCCACGTGGCTTCCCTCGCATGGCCTCCTGCGTTAACGCCTCTGCCACCTGGCGCGTTCTGGTTGGTCGGGGCTGCTGACCGGGCATCTGATGTGGTGTAATTTTTCTAAATTATATTTTGACCTCCGATTTCTGATTTTTTTTCAAAAATACCTCCAGAATCCAAATTTTCACCTCTTTTTTCATTAAATTAAAACAAAATTAATTAAAATAAATTAAATAAATTAAATAAATAAATAACTACATTAAAAAAATAAAAATAAAAATAAAAGAAATTATTGGGTGTTACAACTCTCCCCCTCTTAAATAAAATTTGGTCCTTTAAATTTGTCTCTCACTCTCAATCGAACAATTGGGGATACTGGGCTCTAAAGTCTGATTCTAGCTCCCATGTAGCCTCCCTCGGTGTGTGGTTCTACCATACGATCTTTACAAAGAAAATTTTCTGGTTGCGGAGTAATCTGCTCTTTTGATCCACAATGTCGACTGGTACTTCTTCGTAGGATAAATCTTCCTTTAGTGGAAGAGGCTCGTGGGCGAGGACATGAGAGGGGTTCGGGTTGTACTTGCGTAGCATGGACACATGAAACATATTGTGGACCTTAGAAAGTTCTGGAGACAGTGCTAGACTGTAGGCGGTGGTACCAATCCTGTCTAAGACTTCAAATGGTTCAATACATCGGGAGTTCAGTTTTCCCCTCCTACCGAACCTACTGATTCCCTTGAAAAGAGTGACATTGAGGAACACCCGATCGCCT